TTATGAACTTTTCATACAGTGTTTCTTCACTTTTTAATTCACAGAAAGAGTCGAGATATGAAGGTTATTCAGTTTTGTGAGGACTACTGTGTGAGACACCCTTGGGAACCAGGGGTGAGTAGCCATGGTCGCTGTTCCTCAAGTTGCTCTTGGGATAGGAGAAGACAAAAGGGCATAAGTGGCCAGTCAGGAGCAAAAGGAAATCGGTGCAGGCGAGAAGTTACTGAAGCAATGGCATTCCAGCTGATCGTTGCAGGACAAAGTCCCGTGCAGCATTTCAGGATCTGAAGAAGCTGTGGAGTCTGGCTACTCTAACCTCTCCATGATAAACTGAGGCATAGAAGGAGATATGATCTCTCTAAGCAGCCCGCTGACACCAAATTACCAACTAGACTCAGGGAGGTGGGAAGTGAAGGGCAGGAAAGCAATGCAGAGAAGAGGGCAAAGTCCCAGGTAGAAGAAATGGCCTAAACAAAGTAGGACAGCTGGGACACCCCAAGTCTGCACCCCCGCGCTGCCCCCAAGTGGAATCACTTGCTCATGGAGCATGAACAAGTCGAGCACATGACCTGGTTCAGCCAACCCTTGCTATATTTTCTTGGTCTGTGGTTAGGTCAGGGTGGGCATGTCACCCAGGTGAATCCAGTAAGACTCAAGTCCCCAGAATGTCATCAGAGAAACCAGAAAAAGATGCAGCTCTGGGGCTGCTGGTGGCACTCTCCTTGCTGTAGAAGAGTGAACTCAGAGGATAGAAAAGCTGAGCGGTGGAGGGAGACTGAGCTCTAAAGTCCTTGTTTGAGTCCCACATTCTGCTGGTCTACCCACAAATGGATGTCTCAGTCGCTGGGCAAATTTGCCTTTTGGCTCAAGTCTGTTTGCCTCCAAAGAGGCCAGACTGCCCCACTGTACTTCCCTGGGATGAGGGGAGACTTCCTAACACCCCCCACTGGTACAGCAATTGGGATGGTTTCTCATAAGCCAGCTGACCCCCGGGAATCCCCAGGGAAAGACGCATCGACAGGCTTCTGATGGCCCTGGTGATGGAGTGGGTGTGCTGTGCGTTCCTCCTGATGCCAGCCATAAGTTCTGTTAGGTCAAAGGGGATGCAACCAATGTGGAAGATGCCGGGTGCATTAGGATGTCCCTTTGAGGAGAGCCATCCATAGAGCCTGTTTCTATGTTGGTCCTTCCCAAGTTCTTCTTCCTCTTCTCAATCCTTGATGTCTCCAGTGACTAACACCCCACAGGACTGAAAACTCCTACCCAAGTTCACTCAGATACAGGCAGAAGTACAAAGCATGACACATGTTGAAGGCCAGCCCCAGGGCAAACTTCTATACAGCCTCCAGTCCCAATGTCATGGGAGCTCAACTGCCAAAGACTGAGTGAGTCGGAATCAACAAGCAGGTGGGGCAGGAACAGTTTGGCAAATTACAAGATCCAAAGCCCCCAGGAAGTTGGCAAGGCACTTAGGGTTTGCCCTAAGTTCCTGTGGAATTGGGCTAGTGAAGGTTAGTGAGGACCTGCTGCTGAGAGGCAATGCCATCAGCTGTGACCCCTCTGAGACTACATCCACTTGGAGTGGGAGGGCCCCAGGCCTTCACTGGACTAGGAATAGACCATGTATGCTCACGTGCATGCAAGATAGACAAACAGCCAGGAAACTGAGGCCCAAAACAGGTGAATGCACGAAAACAGAGCTTCGGGAAATGAGGAAGAGGAGAGGGCTTGGAGGTGTCTTTTTAGGAACAGAGGACAGTGCCGAGGGAGGAGAGATTCTCTCAAAGGCCTCCCGACCTCAGCAGGGTGGTGAGGGAGCTCCTTTCGCCCATGGTCCCTGGACACTGGCCTCTAGATGGATACGACTACTCCCTCAGCCAGAACAGCCTCCAGAGGTGCTGAGAGGAGGTCCAGAGGCCAGCGATCTCTCCCTCCTCCTGCCTCCAGGAGGGCTGTTCAGCTCAAGGGTGCCAAAACCTAAGCAGAGCCTCAAAACCCAAGTGTTGTACTTAAGCCTCTCACCCTGGACAGAAAGTGCAATGTGCCACTCGAGGGTGCTGCTACACAGCCCAGAGTGTCCCCATCCTCAAGAGCAGTCCTCCACAGCCTAGATTAGTTCTCTACCATCCAGGGCAGTCCTCCTTCCCCTAGGGCAATCCTCCACCCCACAGGACAGTCCTCCACCATCTGGGAGTCCACTACCACCCAGGACAGTCCTCTACCCACAGTTTGGAGAAACAGCTTGCAGCAGACACATTACTGACTACTAAGTCTTTCTGGATCAAATCTGCAGTTAAACCCCAGCAGAGGCCTGGCTTGTGGGAAGTTCTCATGATGTATGTGTCGAATCAATGAGTACTTATCATCAGGCACCAGAGAGAAGTACTTCTGGGCACCAAGGGGTCACTCAAAGCATTCTCTGACAGTGTCTGGAGTTTGGTATGAATTGGTGATGACAGGCATCAGACTCAAGTTCAATCAGACCTTTTCCAAACCCTCACGAGCTGTGCAACTTCTGTTTAGCGACTTGACCTCTCTAAGCCTCATGTCACACAGGGATCCTTGACTGACAGTGGTAGGCACCTGGAGCACTATGTATCTATCAATCAGCGCATTGCAAACATTCAGAGGTACCCTTAATTATTCTTGATACCCTTGTTAGTTCTTAATATTTACCTCCATTCTACAGATAAGAACACTGAGGGTCAGACAGATGAAATAGTTCCCCCAAGCTAGTAAGCAGCACGGCATGCCTTAAAGTCAAGTCTGCCTTCCTCAGTGTCTCCAGCTGCCCATCCTGCTGGCCTAGCCTGTAGAGGAGGTTCTGGGAAGCTTGCTAAACTGTCTTGAGAGTAGGTCAGGCCTGGGAGGCCAAGGGATCAAAGGCTTGCTGGAAGGAAGCAGGCACACCTTTTCTAGAAGGTGACACCTTCTAGACAAATAAATGCAGCCTGTTGAGTGATGACCCTGGGCCACCTTACAGATGACAAATCAACCCCCCAGTCCTGCGCATCCTCTCTGGCTTCTCAGAGCCTCTTTTTCCTCCATAAAACCCAGGTGAGAAATGAGACTTAATCCTGGCAGCCCCACTGCTGTCCCCTCTCCCAGCCACAGAGCAGAGAAGAAGACGAGGCTCAGCCAGACAGGCGGCATAGTGCAGGCGAGCGCCTACAGGGCTTGCTCATATTTAAAACTTCCTTTCATATATTTTTAATAAAACAACTGATACAAATTCAAAACCAACTTCATAAATCAAACATTATTCAACGTTGGTGACTTCAAGGTTTCCCTGGTGTTTGGCTGAGAGCGCACTGTACATTCTCCCAGACAGGGGCTTTGCGCTCCAGCACTTGAGGTTCTGTGAGAGGTTTATTGGATTTCATAGTCCCTTAAGGGGAAACCCTTTAAATGTCTTTGCAATTATAAGTCTAATAACACTCCCAGCCCTTGGACACAGCCTTGACTTGACAGAGATAAGGAACTCGAAGTTGCTCAGTCAATACCAAGCTATTAATCTCTGTCACCTCGCTGTCACCGCGGCTCAGGAAAACAATGTCGTTTCTTGACCTAGGTGAAGGCATGGAGTGATTTTATTCAGAATGTCAGCATTCATCAACCCGAATTTTGTCACCCACTCCCTCCTTGAAGATCTCCCAGTTCCTCATCCTGCTTGCCCCGACACCCTTCCCATAAAGGAGTTTCTTTCAGTCTTGGCCTGCTATTATTATTTAGCACTATTCAAGTGTAAAAAGCCTTTAAGGATAAAGTTCTTTTCTTGCGGTAAAAGGCCCTGGCAGATGAGTCACTTTATGCTGCTCTCAAAGCCACCTAAGCCAAGGACAGCTGGAAATTACCAAATGCCTGTGTTTGTTTACATATTCAAATGAAGGTTAATTTTTATCCTGTCTCTGCTCAAATTTGATTAGGGCGGGGCTCTATGCCCTCCCTCAGCGGTATATTTATATCATCTTCTTCCTTGACCTTGAAAAAAACCCAAGAAGTTGTTTTTTTAAAAAGCCAACAAAAATCCTAATGAGAAACTAACAAGGAAGAATCAGATGGTTCCTGGCATGGCAGCTGGCCATCCTTCTTCTGCAGTCAAGGATAACAGGAAATGCCTAATCTGCCCAGCCAGAACCTAGCCTCTGGGGCACAGGGTCAGGAAACCAATGCTGGTGGGCTCCTACCTAAAGAACATGGTGCCATCAAGGAGAGGAACGGGGAGCCCGGCTCCCAAAGGCATGGATGGAGAAGTGTATGCCTACAGCGCCTCAGGGCTTTGATGATGAGGGTATACTCAGGGATCCAGCTGGAAACCTCAGTGGCCCCTGTTTCACACAGTGCAGCTCTGGATCAGAGCTGATCAGATTCTGTTGGAACCCTCACAAGTCTTAGATGGATATAAAGAATAATCATGCAAACATGCTTCTGCCTTAGCTGGAAACCAGCACTAAGCCCTTCCTGGTGTTGGTAAGGGCTTCCTTCCAATCTAAGGATCCTGCACAGATAACATTACAATTCAAGAAATCAAACTTTCATAACAGCAGCAGCAGCAAAAAGCCTCTGATAAGGCCAAATTACTTATCAAAGCTGGCATAGTCACATTGCATTTTGGTCTTGATTTTCTTCTGCTGCTTACATTTTGGCAACTGTGTGTGTCTGTGTGTGTGTGTGTGTGTCCCTTCCTATAGGTCACACTGAATACCTTTCCACAACGTGATTTGAGTGAAATATCCATTAACCCGTGCCTCCTGCCCTCCAGGAACCTTCTCTCTACTCTGCACACAAGTCTAACAGGGCCTGCAGAACCTTTGCCCAGAATTTACTCCTGTCTGCAATTGCTCTATCTCTTTCCCTCCTCCCAAGTGACAGATAAAACT